AACTCCTAAGAAGTTTATCATTATTAAGGCAGTTAGAAGGAATATACAAAGACAGAAGTCACTGGTGTGAGTTGACCACGATGGGAAAATATCCAAAAAATAAAATTCAGGGGTGAAAAAGAAGGATGCATTGGGAGAAGGCAGAAGTGAAAAATAGAGTGGGGTAAATTATCCTACATGAAAAAGGAAAAAAAGTGTTTTTACAGTGGAGGTGAAGAGGGAAGGTGGCGGGCAACATTTGAACCTTATTCTCATTGGAATTGGCTGAAAGAGGGAATAACATACCCATTCAGTTGGGTATAGAAATCTATTTTACCCTATAAGGAAATAGGAGGGGAATGAGATGGGAAGGGAGTGGTGAAAGAAGGGAAGGAGGAGTGGTGGAGGCAGTGGTCAGAAGCAAAACATTTTTGAGGAGAGACTGGGTGAAAGGAGAGAGAAAGAGAAGGATAAACAGGGGGGAAATAGGATGAAGGGAAATACACAGTAATCATAACTGTGAATGTGAATGAGATAAAGCCACACATAAAATGAAAGCAGATAGCAGAGTGGATTAAAAATCAGAATCTTACAAAAATTGGGGGGGGGGGTGATATTTACAGTACGTTTCTCTGATAAAGGCCTCATTTTTTCAAATATATGGAGAACAGAGTCAAATTTATAAGAATACAAGTCATTCCCCAATTGATAAATGGTCAAAGGATATGAGCGGGCAATTTTCAGAAGAAGAAAGCAAAGCTATCCATAGTCATATGCTCTAAATTTCTGTTGATTAGAGAAATATAAATGAAAACAATAGTGAGACGCCACCTCACAACTATCAGATTGTCAATATAACAGAAAGGAAAATGACAAATGTTGGAAGGGATGTGGAAAAAATTAGAACACTAATGCACTGTTGGTGGCATTGTGAACTGATTCAACCATTCTGCAGAGCAATTTGAAACTAAGACCAAAGGGCTATAAAACTATGCATATCCTTTGATGCAGCAATAGCACTACTGGGTCTGTAACCTAAAGAGTTTTTTAAAAAGTAAAAGAACCTATATGTACAAAAATATTTACAGCAGCTCTTTTTGTGGTGGAAAAAAAAATTAGAAATTGAAGGGATGCCCATCATTTGGGGAATGGCTGAACAAGTTGTGGAATATGATTGTGATGGTACACTATTGTGCTATAAGAAATGATGAGCAGGATGCTTTCAGAAAAGCCTGGAAAGACTTACATGAATTGAAGCAAAGTGAAGTGAGCAGAACCAGAACACTGTACACAGTAACAGCAATATTGTATGACGATCAATTGTGAATGATTCAGCAATACAATGATCCAAGACGATTTTAAAGGGCTTATGATGAAAAAATGCTATTCACCTCCAGAAAAAGAATTGATGGAGTCTGATTGCAGATTGAAGCATACTATTTTTAAACTTTATTTTTCTTGGTTTTTTGGGGAGTGGGGATCTGTGTTTTCTTTCACAGTATGTGTAATGTGGAAATATGTTTTGCATGACTACACATGTATAATCTATATCAAATTGCCTGCCTTCTCAAGGAAGGGGAAGGGAAGAAAGGGAGGGAGAGAATTTGGAACTCAAAATTAAAAAAAAACAAATGTAAAAATTGTTTTAACATGTAATTGGAAAAAATTAAAAATAAAAAGTGCTATGTAAATATTAGTTACCATATAGGAAAAGTCAACTTTGCAGAATATGTTATCTTAAGGTGTAAGCCATTTTTCTTTATTTATCAGTTCTAAACTTTCATTTCTTACACATAATGTTCATTTGAACTGGTTTTCCTTAAGATATAAATTGCCTCCTTTGGGGATGCTTGTAAGACTTTCTTTAACACTAAAATGTTAGAATTTGGTAACTATTTCTGGATAATTTAAACTAGGGGTTACTCTCTAATGTTGTCCTGTTGATTCCCTACAGCAAGGGTCTTAGCTTAGAGATTCGTGAACTTCTTGTTATTGTTGTTGGTGGTGGTGGTGGTGGTGGTGGTGGTGGTGTGTGTGTGTGTGTGTGTGTGTGTGTGTGTGTAACATACTCTGATAATTCATTTATTTTATTCATTTAAAATCATGATTCTGAGAAGAGGTCCATAGGCTTCACCATATTGCTAAAGGGATCTATGACACACACAAAAAGTTAAGAACCCCTAATCTACACATTTTCCAAACACATCCAACCGATGTTATATAGTGATTTCCCTGAAATATGATATTTACACTTTTTGTTCAGTGATTTTTCCTGGAAAGACAATGATTCTCAAATTGTCTTTCTGAGCTTTTTCAAGGTCATTTGCTTTGGTTTATAGAAACCACGCACATTTTTTCAATATTGCTGTTCTTTGACTCTGCTCTGATATTTGTCATTCATTCTGTGTATGTTTGTGTTATATTTTCCACTTTTTAAAAAAATGTCCACTACTTTTTTTTTAAGGTTTCCCATCTTTGTTTCAAAAAATTCTTCAAGGTTTTTCCTAGTCAGAATTTCTTTCCTCTATTTTTTGTTGTTCATTTTCTTGTCTTTTCAAATTCTTCAAGATTTCTAATTTCCTTCTTAATATTTTCCTTTGATTCTTGATGTTCACATGGTAGTTTCTTATTTCTGAGGATATAGTTTTTGTTATTCCACTATTACCCCTTTATTCTAGAATCTAGAGTGTTCTTTTTCCTTTCTTTTTCCTGATAGTTCATATTCATTACAGGGAAGCTTCTCTTTTTGTTTATTTGTTTACTCAGTTTCTATGCTTATTTCTATGCAAAGTATCTGGTAGATATTAGTTAATGCTCATAACAAAGCAAAACAGTGACAATAAATTATTCTGGACAGCCCTGAAGACTACAAAACTCATTTTTCAGAGACCACCAAAGAGCCCAAGTAAGCAATAAAGATTCATCTGCCAACAATTCGTACAATCATTCAAGACACACGGAAGACAGCAGAGTTCATTGAACCAGTGCTATCCATGGCCATAGAAGACACAGAAATAGGAAGCCCAAATAATGGGTGTGCATAAAAGACTGGCGTTATTTGGGGGATGTGGTTTGTTCTTCTTCCCTGAAACATTCAAACTAAATTTCAAAGAGAAAGTCCTAATGTCAAGAAGGGAAAGGAGGAAGAAATTATATTTACTTAAGAAACCATCCATGGATATCAGAAATGAGTCTTAAGGATGGCTTCTCTGGGACCAAAATTGATGTAATGAAAGTATGTGCCATGGCAGTTAGGTGGTGCAGTGGATAGAGCTCTAGCCTTGGAGTCAGGAGGGCCTGAGTTCAAATCTGGCATCAGACACTTGACACTTACTAGCTGTGTGACACTGGGCAAGTCACATAACCCCAATTGCCTCACCAAAAAGCAAATAATAATAATAAAAATAATAAAAGTATGTACCCAATAATCTTCAAAAACTCCCCATTGCCTCCAAGATAAAAATGCGAATTCCTCTGTTTGGCATTTAAACCCTCCATAATCAAGATTCAACTCCTCTTTCTTGACAAATTTCACATCACTTTCCCTCATGTACTCTATGTTACAGCCCAACTGGCCTAAGTAAATGTTTAATACATATAATTTGTATACATTGTATAAGCATCTTAGGATGAGAAATAAAATTGCTTTTCATTCATCCTCCTCCGTCCTACAAAATAATTCATTCTGCTTTAGCCCTTGCACATATATGACAGGAAGAAATGACAGGAAGGAAGAAATGACAGGAAGGAAGAGCTTTGGGGACTGAATCTTGTTTGACTTCATTTTAATTCTGTTCTCTCCCCATACATGCTTAAGAGGAAGGCTCCAGGTCTCCTGAGTATGAGAGCATTTTTATGTGGTTGATTTTGTGATTCTGATAGATGACAGGAAACTTGTGGCATGTGAAAAAAAAAAAGAGATGTTCATCGTGTTAGTTAACAAGTAAAATAATTCATTTTATGAACATAGACAGGAAACACAAAGGCAAAAACAAATATCTGGGGAAACGATGTTACCTTTCCTGCTGACAGCAACTTCAAGATATTAGAAATTAGCACAATAAAGCTTCATAAAACGAAACAGAGAGAGGACATCAAACAAGGGACCCAACATTTTTTTTAAAAGAAAGTCTCATTTTCCATTTCCTAAAATGAGAGGTGTGTGGCATAGTAGAGAGAAACCCCAGAATCAAGAAGATCTGGGTTCTAGTTTTGTTTCTGATGCATACTAGTTATGGGCAAGTAACTTAACCCAGTAACCTGAGGCGATTCTCTAAGGCTAAGCTTTAGAAAAGATATCAAACTGTAATGAGAGAGGGACTTTCCTCACTTGGACTTCTCCAGTCCTCTGCAAAGTGAAAAGACCACTAAAGGTGGATAAGGATGTCACCCTGTCAAACTGACTTTACCAAGACAGTAGCCTCTTTTCTTATAATGCCTGCAAGCCAATGAGAATGAGGTTGTGTTGGCTGCCTGCAATCATCCTGATCAACAGCTGATTAAGGAACTTTTTTCATAAAATGAAGGGAAAGAACATGCTTAGTTCTCCTTTGTGAACTGGGGGAGATATGAAAGATGGAGCTGAGCAAACTTGGAGAATAACAAAGAGAAAATCTCCCAGAGTTGCAAAGTGATCTAGAAGCCTGAAAATATGTCTCGTCAAAAAGAAAGGAGCTAGCAAAGCAATGAAAGATAAGCAGCTTGTAAGGTCCACTTTTACCATTGCCTTCAGAATAAAGAGTTTGCAGTCTTTCCTACATAAAAACAGAGAGAGAAGTCCAGGTTAGTAATTTATATTGACTAGGTGAGCCATCATTTGTGTTTAGGGCTCTGTGCCTTATGAGGCCTTGGGAAACATATACAAAGAATAGATTCTAAAAGACTTACAAATGAGTTTGCATTCTAAGTTGTTCAAAAATCATATCCCCACATAGACTCTGTAAAGTAGATGATGTAAGTACATTTTATCCCTGTTTTATAAATGGCCAAAAAAAAAAAAAAAAAAAAGCTAAATGTCTTACCCAAGATCATGTAGAAAAGCCCAGGTCTTCTTCTTCCATGTTCTTTGAGTTTTCTTATCATATTGTACTGCTTTATTTTGCATCTCCTCCCCAGGCCAGTGATACCATTAGCATGGGGAGCTCACTGCCTTTACCAATGTTGGGTGCAGACTTCTCACCTTTGCCTCATAGAATCCCTTACTGCCTTCAGAGCTCAGCTCAAGAAGCTCAAGAGCTTCTACACAAAGTGTTTCCTGTCCACTGCACTCCTACCACTAGTGGTACCCTGCCTAAACTACATTGTATTTATTTGGTATTTATTCCATATATTCTTATATATGTACATATGGTCTCTCCCAATAGAATGCAAGCTTTTTGAAAGGAGGGCCTTTCTGATTATTTATCTTTGTGCCAGGAATACAGTAGATACTTAATAAATGCTTGTTGATTGATTGATCAGTAGATGCATGCACACTGAAATGATTGATGCTTATACATGTGAAAGAGAGAAACTATGTATATAACACAGATCTCCTCCAAGTGAGATGGGGAAGGGACAGCCAGGTGTTGTAGGCGGTACATAGAAGGAGATGTAACTCCTGATTCATGGAGAAAAGTCTAAGCTCAATGCTGCATTCCATCATAAGGAAATTATTGAGCTGGTTCTAGGACTTCTTTTAGAGAGATATATGGATAAAGGATATCCCAAGGAGAAGTGATCAGAGGACTTTGGAACAGCAGACGTGCAGGACAAACCAACCCTGTAATGTCTCAGGACTTATTTAAAATTCTAGAAACCACTAGAACGGTACTCCTTGGGGTAAGATTTTTTTCTTTCTCTCCTGGTTTGAATTGAGTACTTACCTCACTCCCAGCTGTAGAGCTGATTCAGTGTTGTACCTTCTTTGGTATGTTCTAATCTATATAACTTCTAATACTTCCATTTGCTATTTGGTTGGAGAAATGAGTTTAGTTGTTAATTTTGCTATTTGTTATGGTCTTTTGTGTAATTTTTGTTTGGGGAGAAAAAAACTAAGCGGGTAAAGGTAAGGTAATTTCAATCCGCTCCCCATTGCTCATTTTGTCCAGAGCTTTTTGTGCCCCTAGACTCAGAAGATTTGAAATGTGGCAGATGGATATAATTCTAGCCTGATACTAGCTTCAGAGACCAGAGGGAAGAGGGTTCATCTTTGTTGGTGTTCCTGCACTGTCCCTCCTTTCCACCCTTACTCTAGCATGGCTGGCACTACCTTTAACTCTCACTCTCTCCACAAAGCTTGGCCAGGCCTCAAATCATAGCCATCTTTTCAAACCATGGACTTCATCTACACATTCAGGTAATCCATGTGAACATCTTGCATGCAATTTTACAGTGATTTTGCAATTTTGCATGTACATGTATATATATACACACACACAATCTTAGTGTAGATTAAGGACTAGGGATGAGATCTTTGAAATGGATATTGGAGCAGAAATCAAGATGAAGAGTTGGCAAAGTGAGGGAATTCTGCTAGAGAATGTAAAACTTGGAGGAAATCAGCTGGACTCACAGAAATACGTTTACTCTTGTTCACACTCAACTGTTCCTCATTCTCATGAGGTAGTAGATTCAGGAGGGGGATGGAAGAGGTACATTCATCTCATTTAGACAACTGGAGAGCATGCACTATCCCCATCCCCCACTTGCTGATTGTACCAAATTGTGAGAACTCTTCCTTGGGTTGAGGCCCTTCTTTTGATCCGCCAATCATCCAATTTTGCTGACTCTCCTTTCGGCCTTGACATATTAATCCTACCTGCTACCAAAGACATAACTTTTTTTTAACCTCTGGACCCTCTCTTTCTCTCTATTTTTGACAGCCTAATTGTTTGTTATTGTTATTGGCAGTGATGTATAAATTATGAAGAAAATTGGTTTCTCTATCTCCAGGGCTTCAGAAACTCCCAACTACCTCCCTAAGAGGATCAACCATCCTTTCTGGTCCCTATGGTACCAGATCCCCTGAGCATACTGGCATCTTCTTGGCCAGGTAGGCCTCCATTCATGCTTATGCCCTCATCCCAAGTAGTGGGAAGAATCAAAGATGACAGTGGACTCAATTGGATACTCCATGAAATAACCAATGGCTTTACTCACCCAACCTAAAACTTCCCATCCACCCATTCCTTGGCTAAAACAGGACTGGCCATGCAGAGAGCAGTGAAATAAAAATGTAAGGGTTTGGAATGTAAGTAAGACTATGGGTGAAAAAAAAGCAACACCACCACCAGTGCCTCTATGAAAAAGCGGAATAATATGCCACAAAAATTCCAAGATGGAGCCAGGGACCAGGCTTAGATGGAAGTCATTGAGTGGCCAGACAAAACTCCAGAAATAAGATCTTAAACTAAGTCAAGGAGGGTTTACACATAAGAGAGAAGGGAAGGCATGATAAGCTTCTAGGGAGGGGGAGGGAAAATGTTTTTTTTTCTTTTGCAAATGTTTCAAAGGAAAAAAAACTGATAGAAGCCCCAAGGAAGTGCCCCCAAAAGTGCCAAACTGGTGGGTAAAGATGCAAAATAGTATAGAAAAACACCTCATCTTTTACAACTGCCACCTTGAAGTCAACAAGTAGAAAAGCATTTTGTTTTGCTAGAAACAATACAGTTGAAACATGTTATTTGTCAGGTAGGAGGAGGCTAGAAAAGATGGGGAGGCTGTGGCTATCCCAGTGAGAATATGTGGATAGATTTATTACAAAGAACTTCATAACCAAAAGCAGGACATGGAAATGTTCTCTTCAGACCACTCTCTCTGGCACAGGGGAATAACTGCCCTTGCCAAATTCATAGCTTTATAAATATGCACAATAGTTACCAACCTTTGGGGATAGAGAGTTGTAACATAAAAAATTTTCACAGACCTTCTCTGTCTCCCTACCTAATTAACTGCATAATGTCACTTTTAGTACCTTAGTATTAGTATCCCATTGATTATCAGTCATACTTAATTAGCTTTTAAAAACAGGCATTTACTAAGTTAGTATAGTAAGAAAAGTTGGTACAAAACTTTTTACAAAGTTACTGGACTGAAAAATGAGTACCATGACTTAGTGAGAATTGTCAATGATGTACTCTCATTTGGATTTACATGAGGTTATGAGGTTGTTTTTTTTTCAAATCCCTTTCTCTACAAGATCATAGGATTTCAGATTTAGAGCCAGAAGGGACTTCAGAAGTCATTCAGTCCAAACACTTCATCTTTCACAGAACGAAACTGAGACCCAGAGAGATGAACTGACTTGCCCGAGATCCCACAGGTACCTTAGGTAAGGAGCAGAGTCAAGTTTCAATTGTACTGGGCTGACTCTGTATTAAAATAGCACTTGGGATAATAGCACTATGGATCAAAAGTTAGAACAAAACTCAGATGTCATTGAGTCCACTATCCCCTACTTATTTAAGAAGAAACCAAGTCCCTAGAGATGATGAGTGCTTTGCCCAAGGTCACACAGGTGGTAGGCATGCTCCCCTGACTCCAGAGCTGGTGCTCTTTCCATTCTAATGTTGTCATTCCAAAGAGCTTTAGATAGCATGATCCTCCTCATCATAGCTAACTTTTACATAGAACTTTTAAGTTTTCAAAGCTTTTAAATACATCATCTCATTTCATGTTAAATCACATGATTCTCATAATGATCAGATAAGGCAGAATATATATCATAAACTCAAAATTTACAGTTAATTTAGCTGAGCTTCATAAAGGTTAAGTAGTATGCCCAACATCACATAGTGATCTAAAGGTCAAAGAACACTCGAATCTAAATTTTGTGATTCATAGTGAGATAAGAAATGAGAAGAAATATAAAACTATATGGTATGCAGGTATCTCTTTTTCTTTCTTTCTTTTCACCATAATTAAGTTTTCCATGACTTTTACTCCCCACTCCAGTGGAAGGTTATGATGGTGACCATGACTGTGACTCACCATTGTAATGCTGGGTTAGGACCACCATAATGCATGACTAGCTGTTATAACGACATGTGACACGCTATTTACTGAAAGAGACAGGATGGGATTTCATTGAAAAGCAGATCAAACGAGCAGAAAAACCTCATAGCATGAGAAATAAAGTGGTTTTTTTTTTACCATGGTCACCAAGAAACCTATGATTCTGTGATCCCACGATCCCATGTGACAGAAGGAGGCAGACAGGTTTGTAAACCAGTGGGATTTAATATTTAAACAGGGACTCACACTTTGGTATTCAGAAACTTGGAAAATAGTAAGAATACAATGATGGTCATTGAGAAGAATTTTGGGAGAAATGGCAATGATGAGGGTAGGGCAGGGAAAGAGAAGAATGGGATAGAGAGAAAGGGTATCGGCATGATGTCATAGTGGGGTGGGGGGGAGACCTAAAACACTGCACTTGGAATCAGAAAGACCCAGGTTAAAGTTTTCTTTCTGTCATATGCTATGTGACCTTGAGCAACACACTCAATTTCTCTGATCCTGTTTCCTCATCTTCAAAATGTGAAATGTACTACCTCTGTTCACAATATTTTTATGAGACTCAAATAGGAAGATGTAAAAGTGTTATGGAGAATATAGGTGTAGGAGACAGAGGCTGCTTGAAATCCATGCAAGCCCTTTTCTCTTGCTCATTGCTTTCTGGATTTGCACCCTCTGGGGACTCCTGGATATGAACCCATGAGCTTCCCATATACCCTCAGCAGGAAGGAAGGGCTTGCCTGATTCGTCTTGGGCCATGCTTACTACAATCCTGCCCACCAGTTTAAAAATTCATAGTTCCTTTGAATAGTACCAAGTGCATTTTTGTAGAGTACGCAAATGCAGAATATGTATCTATATCAATATCTGTGTGTGTGTGCATATGCAGGTACATTTTCTGCAAAATCCATTGGTCACATTCACTAATGATCTTACATTTAAAGTAGACTGTTTACACGAATCACATGCATAGTTAGGTTATATCACATAACAGGCTTACGTATATTAGAGCTAATACATAGTCTATTATTTGCATGTTGTTAATTCCTACTGGACTTCATGAACAGAGCAAACTCTAGATTTATCCCTTTTCCCTTATCCAGATCTCCCTTAGGCTGGAGCAGTCCTAGCATCCTAACCCTTTCCCCAGAATATAACCATATTTGGCTTCCTCTTT